AAGGTTGAACTCCGACCCACCCCAGGGGGGTATACGGAGATAAAAGTAAAATTATTACAATAAAATTTCTCTAAAAACTAAAGTTACAGTAAAATTTCGCCAAATGACAGTGGTGGTGATCAGTTAAAAGTGGATTAACAATAAAGTTTGACAATTAAAAACATGTGTTAAAGGCAATGAAACCCAATAGCGCCGGTGTAAATGTCGAGAATTAAATGATTATAATAATAAGGAAACAAGAGATAAAAAATCTCAAAACTAAAATCAATGAAAGCTAAAAGTCCAAATAGTAAATGTCTAAAAGTAAAAGTCTGACTAGAAGTCTATGAAGTCTAAAATCAAAAGTAGATAAAAATTCAAAATGTAAGGCTAAAAGTTGATTAGTAAAAATTAACGATGACATGCTCTATTGTTGGTTCATGACTGGGGTCAGTTGATCTGGGGCTAGAATGTCCTCGAGGGTTTGTTTAATAATTTGAGTCACAATTTTCCTGCAGGTCAATATAGCGAAGAATTGATGTTCCTCTTCGCAATTATTCACAGTTTAATTCATAGTTTATTTTATATTATTGAAATAATATAAAATAAACTATGTGCTAAAAAGCCAAGACCATGGAAGAAAGATTAGTGGGAAGTTCGCTTAAGAAAACATTAAAATATCGCTATTCGCAAATGACTCTTAATTCATATTTATTTCCCTGACGGTAGTATGTACTACTGGTATTATGGTAATTGGCGATTTGGTTTTGATAAGAATTCTAGAATGAGTTTTCCTTAGTTTCAGGATATAATTTTTTCTAGTAGTAGCTAAGATAGTGTATTAATATTTTACTGAATTAGAATTAAAATAACTTTTTTCCATCACTACTTTTAATCATTTTAATAGTAAATTAAAGGCCAGATAAAGAAATGGTCATGCTCCAAAATCTTTATAAAATTTTGTTCTTTTTCTTTCTTTTTTTAAAATTAATACGGATTTAGTTGGCGGTCACTGACAAATACTCAAATGTTGAAAGGTTATGTTATAAGAACCAAATATACTTATATAGGTATTAAATATATTGGTATATTTGGTGATTATTAAAACTGAACTAATCAGTTTTAATACCTATACTTAGGAATTAAGTGTTTTATGGCCCCTCGAAGGGGATATGTACCTGAGAAAATCACTTAATAGTGGTAAATTTTAACTATCATGAATCGATCGTGAGCAATAGCATCATGCCAAGAGATGATAATTACATTTTATCTTTATTCCATTGGTATGAATTACAAACAAAGAGCTCTTCTTACTTCAATAATGTAATGCTACCGACGATTACAACTTTTAGGTGTTCTAGATCGAACACCAAATGGGAATTATTCAAAACATAATTAAAGTTGCTTAAGTATGCGTAATTTAATTATTGGAGCAATAAAAAACTTAATTTAAACCATTTTTTAATAACAATAATATATAAAGATAATAACAAAAAAATACAACTGACAGCTCGAAATTAGCGATTCTAGAGTTCGAATATAAATCAACAGAATGTGAAAGAAAAATAGAATGAGTAAAATAAAATAATGTTTTCTTAGAACAAGTGACGCCATCTGTTGGCATTTATTGAAGTCACAGTCCACCACAAACTTTTAACATTAAGTAAAATAAAAAAAATTATTTTAGCTATACTTAGTGGTAGAACCAGATAATTGCCATTTTCAGAAAGAAAAAGAACACACGCATCCGAATTATTTTATTACCAATTTATTAGAAGGTGAGACTAATAATTCTCTGCTATATTTTATTTACCACTGCCTAATCTATGGGAATCTATATAATCTATGAAAATGAATGTCTGTGTGTGTGTCCTTTATAGGCTCCTAAATTATCCAAATTAAATCGACGAAACTTAGCATACAGATAGTTTGAAGCAGGAGGTCGATATTAGAGCATTTTACGACGAACCGTTCGAACGGGATGTGTGAAAAACGAAATGGAATTTTCTGATTGGTTAAACGTTAGTCATTGTCTTAAATATAACTATACACAATTCAGTTTTGTCACATATTTTACGAATAACATCAGGGACAATATCTATCTTATAACTCGATTTGATTAAAAAAATAGCTTATTGCAGGAAGTATAGAATTATTTTATATTCGCTATGCCATATAAATTCAATTGACAACATGATGTGGTAACACGTGATGGCTACGTCACCAAATTTATACTTTTAAAGTTGTCTGATACCACTGAACTAGATACCACATACTGAAATGGAAACACCATTTCAGTATTCTCAGTGCTTTCCAATTTTCATAATGGCTTTCTATTTTTGTCTATTCATTATGGGGCCTCGGAGCACTGTCAGTTTGGGTTAATTTCACTGACAACAGAAAGGCTCCTGTGTGTTTTCAGGCAGTCTGTCCTCTGAAGAAGTGCTGTCTTGCAAACACACATTTATATTTTCATTTTTAAATATTTTATATATGTCTTAATATCTAAATTAATTGAAATAAAATAATATAAGCTATGCCCTAAAAAGCAAAGTTAAAGGAGAAAGGGTTAATAAAAAATTTGCTTTGGAAAACCATGGAAAATCACCATTCACTGATGACGCTTAATTCATATGTATTCCTTACGGTAATATGTACTACTGGTATTATACTAATTGGTGCAGTTTTGATAAGCATTCTACAACCAGTTTTCCGTGATTTCAGAAAATATTTTTCCTGTGGTAGCAAAGATAATTTATTAATATTTTAATGAATGAGAACAAAGGAACTTTGTTCTTATACTACTAAATATTTTAATAGTAAATTAAAGGTTAGATAAAGAAACGGCCATTCTCCAAAATCCCTTTGAAGCTCTAATAAGAATTCAATTTTTTTTTTAAATTTCGGCTTTAGTTAACTGTTACTGACAAATATATTTTTCACAAAACTTAAATGTTGAAGGGTTATGTACTAAGTATCAAATAAGCTAATATAGATATAAAATATTATAATGATTTATTTCGTTATAAACTGTTTTAGTGACGATATTTCAGATCGGCCCCTCGAAAAGGATATGTACCTGAGAAAATTATTTAATAATAGTAAATTTTGACATATTATGGCTTAGCCGCGAGTAATAGCATCATGTCAAGTGATGCTAAATACATTTTCTCTTTATTCTAATGGGATGAATTACAAAAAACAAGTTCTACGCACTTCAATAACGTAAAGCCATCGTAAATGGCAACAAATAAAATTAAATTAAAAAAAATTAAACTGTTTTAGCTCTATTAATTGAAAATCTTTGTTGAAGAAGAAGGTAAGTCACATTTTCAGAATGAAAAAAAATTGTGTCCGAACTATTTTATTACCTATTAAATAGATGACGGGACTAATAATTCCTCGCGTTGTTGTTCCCAATTTCAAATAAAACCTAACTACCTAAAAAATAAAACCTTACTGCCTAATTTGAAATAAAAAATCATACTAACATACAAAAAATTTATGCGATTAGTTGTGCTAAGATTTAAAAAAAGGCAAAACCAGTGACTCAGAAATTCCCCTAATATGTCACTTACCTAGGTTCTTTCATTAAGCTCTTTCATTGTGTCGCTTATGTGCTTTTCAGTTATGAGCATAATTTCGTAGTGTTTCTCTTCTGTGATTTATTGATACTTTATTTATTTTTTATTCACCCCGTGCGAAGAACGGGCATTCAGCTAGTATAAAAATAAGAATTATAAGAATTAGAAAAGTACCTATTCAAAAACAATTGTTATAAACTCTTGCATAGTACACTGTTATAAATTTCTTTTAAAAAAAATGGTTAAATAACAATTTATTTAATTTTTATTTCACCATTTTCAAGCAAAACAACCAAATAACCATAAATAAGATGATATTCAAACCATTAACTGTGATAAAAACCGTTTATTAACTGCTTTCACCTAATACGGATAAACAAGCAAAATTTTATCTCACCAACTAGGTCTACCTAATGAGCAAGGTCCACTTCCTCGCAGCGAGGTACTACATGTTATAAAGCTGAGAGGGCTAAACTGACAATCTCATGACCGGTAGTACGGAGATTCGAGGAACAATTTTCACATCACAATATTTCCTCCATTCTCTTGTTATTTGACCATAATGTTAGATTGAAAATTCCAACAGTGTATGACTAAAACTAACAGAAATATTGAAAACATAATACTGTCAGGAAATCTTTGCAATTTTTTTTCTTTAAGCATGCAAGAGTTGACCATATTATTTACAAAGAAACCCAAACTAAAATCTGAAACAAGCCAAAAAAAAATTTTTGCATTCAAGTATAAATAATTCCCCGGTTATTTTAACTAAAGCATTTGCTTGAGTTGTAGTCCTAAAAGCCCTGCACCAAAGCAAAGAGACGAAAAAAGACCCCTGGAATAATTCTCATGTTCCTATCAAATTTCGCATAAATGGTTGCGACTATTATCCCGTTACTATTCTTCATGATCCGAGTAAATTAATCCAGTTTCCTCTTCTTAGTTTTCGAAAACTCTAGCACTTACTTAGACGAAGATGTCATATCGGAGCTAAATCCAATTTTCAAGAAATTCTTTATTCTATAACAGAATTTACGCTGTCAATCTCAAAAATAAATGCAGAATCCTAAAATATATTTTGCTTTGCCTCTTTTATATAAATGACAAAATAAATTTTAGGGAAACTTTTTCTAAAGATTTTAGATTTTTCTTAAGGAGATTCTTTTTCTGCTAGAATGTAAATAAAATATTATGTAAGTTCTTATGAACAACTAAAATTCAAAATTGGTTTTTGATGAATATAATAGTGTAAATCCAACTGAAAAGGTAGAAAATAAAAAAATGATATTGAAATTATGTTGTAAGTACCAATTTAGTTAAATGATTTGTAGCATGGTTAAAAGTTTCTCTGATCATAATATTAGTTCGCCAAACATGATCATAGTAATATTAGTCCTATATTCGGAATTGCAATTGTAAATATCTAATATTATTTCTCACAAATTGTGGAAAAAAATTAAATTAAGTACACTGAAATAAAAAATTTCGAGAAACGGCTGCCTAATTAGTTATTTTTTGATTACCTCGCAATACAACCTAACACAAACGGGATTCAAAAATAAAATAAAAGGTGAATTTGTCAAAAATGTCCCATCTCATCAAAAAAGATAATACTATAGTTTTATGTTATAGTTCTATAGTATTATAGTTATGTTATAGTATGTTTTAGTTCTTTGAAACATTACAAAACTGGATTCTAGTAAAAAACGAGTCTCCCTAATAGTATATTTTGGTGGCAACGACATCAATGCTTCTAGTTAAGTTATCGAGGAATGAAATGGAGAACAAAGACCAGACATTGAGTAATCCTTGTTGCAGCTCATTTAATAATGAAGAATAGAAATTGTTCAAAGTAACTACTTCTCTAAGGTAATCCCAAACACTCTCTATCAGACTCAGGTCTGGTGATCTGAGTAGAAAATCCCTTCAATGAATATCTCCACTTTTCAGGAAACACACAGCAAGGGACGAGGTCTACATGGCCACGTGCTACTGTTCATTTAAAACACTTTTCATTTCAGTTTATTATAATTTTTACTAACTGAATATTTTTTTTCTTTTTGAAATGAGACTAAATAATCAAAAATTCAGTAATGATCAACATTGCAAAATCATGCACGAAATTAAAAATGCGGATACAATACTAAGGCATAATTCTATATCTCGAAACTAACTCCTGATAATCAAAAAATACCATAATCAACAATTATCTGCGGTACTTATCCCTGCAAAAAATCCATTTCCCCACCGCTCATAATAGGTATCATGATACACACAGTAGTATATATTAAAACAGCACCAATTAAATAATATCGTTAATACTTATTACCAAAAATGATTATATTTTTCTGATAATTATTTTTAAATTGTAAATAAGAATGGGTTCATTAACACTCTTTAATATGTCTGAGCTCAATTAGTATATTAAGTGTTAAATCCACACTTATATGTTTGACTAACCTAATGGCAACTTTTTCATAAAAATCTCCATGGCTCAGAGAAGACAGATTACATCTACATATGAACGAAACACATAGATAAGTAGTAAACTTAATTTTGATTCCTGCAAGCTGATATTGCGGTGCTGGTGCAAATTATACTTGAAACAGAGCTCCATTGGCATTAGGTTAACCATGAGAGTTTTTCGTGGTTCTTACCTTCATTTTGCGGTTAGTTTCAGTTTAGAGAATTTTTCTTGAAGGTGAATGTGACTTAAGCAGATGTTCTCCTGTTGTCTTTTAGATTCAAGGCTAAGAAGTTGAAAATTAAAAAAATTAATTGCATACTCACTGAGTGGATTGATGTTGTAACCTAAATTATGAAAAGTGATAATTGCGTAACTAATCATAAGAGCATAGTTTATCACGATAGAAAAAAAAGCGTAAAACTATTTTATTAGCATTTTTAAACATTCAAATGCGTCATTTTTGCTTGAAATTGCATTATTTTTAAAGAAAATTTTAAAATAATTTGTATTTCAACAATTATACGTAGATATTTTAAATATTAAAACAAATAAAAATACTTTTAATTAATTTCAGAAATACCTTTAGATGTAGCGAAATGGCATACTATTTTAACCACAATCACCGCTAATTAAAAGAATACTTTTTCAAAATCAAAAATTGCCGAATTTTTGTCAATTAAAGCGATACATACCGATAAAACATCTACTCCGCAAAAGTTGAGCTCACGCTGTATCTGAATCATTTTTTATCAGTTTTCGGACGAACAGATAAAATTTCGGTAGATAAAATTTGATACCAGTTTGTTCCAAATTAAGGTTGCTAAAACATTATTCTATGAATTTAAGCCTAAATACATGTATATTGATTTTATCTTGTCAAACAAAATTATATTCGATGAAAAACATTAAAAATCATCCAAGAAAACATGCAAATACTATGCAAAAAAACCATTAAATCTTCCGTTAAAAAATAAATAGAATCAAGTAAATAGTAACTCAAAAAGTTTGTGAGTTATGCCTTCACATTTATAATAAAAACATAAAGATTAAGCAAAGAAACAAAACAGAGGAATGTATAAACTTTGAGCTCATTTACTCAAATTCCCTTACGTGTAACTTAGCCGGTTCTTCCATAAGGACTCCATAAATATCATTTATACATAAATATACTTTAATTTTTATACAATTCATTACGGTCTCTTTAAAGCGCTAAGTTACCAGACGCCTTTATTAAAATTTTAGACAATAGAAAAGCATATTCTATTATACTTAACTTGCTTCACTGTAGAAAACACAACAGATTCATAGTTATTATAAAATGTTATTTTAATAAAGTGCAAGATTTATTATACTGCTTTTTACTTAAACCATAGTTTCTTTCTGCGAATAAATAACCAGTCAAAGCAATGGTAGACATTAATAGCAGTATGTATAATTTAACAAATGTGCATACATAGTTGTTGATGGCGTAAAACACAACACATCCTAAAGCATGATAGAGCTGATAACACCCAAAGCCAGTTTCTTCTTCTTCTTTAAAAATGAGTCCAATAAATGCTGAAAAACAAAAAAATACAATAATACGTCAGCTTCTAATCAGGATATTCCGTAATAACTAGCTTTATACTTCCTTATTTAGATTTTTTTTTTTTTAATATGAACAATGCGTATGTCTTAGGGGTCTCAAATTGATATTTAAGTGAAAAATTACTGAGCACATGTCCAATGTTTTTCAAATCACTCCTGACTACGAAAACCAAAGCCAGTTTTACTGCCAAAAAACTTGGAGGTGTTTCTAAAATCAATCTTTCAATCTTTAACTCTTTTCTATTATTTCCAGCAATCAAACAAGAATTGTTTTTGTCGCGTTTTTACAACATATAAAACCAAGCAATGTATGCATATATACATCATAATATTGTATATATTTTAGGTTGAAATTTTGTTTTTTGCTTTTTCGTGCTCTTCATTTTTAAAACCTTTTTTGATGGCAGTGGTAATAGAAAACATACTTTGGAAACAAAGATCAGAAGTATATGCTTCCATTTATTAAAATGGACGCATAGCACTTAAAATTTTAAAAAAATTGCAGATTTTTTTATTAAACTAGAAAGCGCTATAAAGTGCTATGATAAATATGATTAAGATAAATATAATGAGGTAAATGTATGAGTCTTTATATTATCATAAAAGGATCTGTCATCAAAACCGTTGGTTGAAGGATTAGTTTGGAACATAGAATGTAAAAAACGCATCCTACATTGAAGCTTTTTATTGGAAATAATATGAAGTATGAACTGCACAGTCATGAAAATTACTCATACTACAAGATGTTGTCTATATAGTGTCTTATTGATATTGTTCGGATATTGCATCCCTTAAGTAAGTGTTTAAAAGAAGAATTTGATGCATGCATGCATTTTATGATGCTGTACGTAGGGTAAACCAACCAGTGAAGAAACATCTACCCAGTGAAGGAACATTTGATATATATATTGATTAAAAATAAGAATTTGAAAGTTTTTCTTTAGATTGATTGGTAAAATTAGCTTACTGCCAAACAATAGGAAGTCATCTAGCAATGTTTTGGATTACATGGACAAATAGACTTCTCTGGAAAAAATTTTGAATTTGTTATTACCTCTGCAACACCTTGTTTCTTTGAAAAAATTATAAGGTGAGTGTTTGTATTTATA